TTTGATAAGAAAAGGGGTTGAAACTACACTAAAATAAACAAACAAAAAAGCAAATTAATAAATAAGGGAAAAATTCATAAATATCTATCATTAAAAAAATAAAATAATAATAATGCATTTCAAAGAAGAAGCAAAAAAAATCCTTCTTCTATAATTAATTTGAGAGGTCAAACAAATTTTGAAAATAGATTTTTTTATTTTTTAGAAAAGAAAAAACAAAAAGGACAATTTTGGGAGTGAGAAAAACAAAATAATGATTAATGAGGAGGACAGTCTTATTCTACCCGAACCCGAGTCATGTGGTTTCAGCCTTTCACTGTGAGAAAGTTTCTCCGACAGAAGACAACAACAACAACAGAGCCACACCGAGTTTCGCTCCAATTCTACCCATCACCTCCTCAGGTTCCTATCTTCCCTCTCTTTCATTTTTTTTTTCTTTTTTTCTCTTTCTTCTGTTTTTTTTCTTTTTGGGTTTCTATTTTCTTGTTAAGATTTGTCTGAATTATCTTATCTGACACTCTGATTCTTACATTCGAGTGAAAAAGTTCAGTTTTTTAAGAACCCCCAAATGATCGGAAAGTTGCAGAATTTGGGAATTTGATGATTGAATTCGAACTTTTTTCTGTGTATTCTTGCACTGCTCGAGATTCAAACATTGGATTAATGGGTGATCTGCCTTTATTCTGATTTATAAAAAATAAAATATTGGGTAGGGAGTATAATAATATGCAACAAAGATTGAAGCTTCAGCAACAGCAACAACAAGAAGCCATAATGCAGCAAGCTCTTCTTCAGCAACAACAACAACAGCACATGTACCATCCTGGTGTGCTTGCCGCTGCCATGTCTCAGGTCCCATCACTCTCTCTCTCTCTCTCTCTCTCTCTCTCTCTCTCTCTCTGTATGGCTTGTATGCTTGCTTGCTTGCCTGCTTTGATCACAAAAATAGATGATTTGAGTTTTTGGGTATCACCTAATTCATTCAAACTTCATGTAATTCATCAGAATAGGAAATATCATTTGTTAAGACATTTGTTTTTGGTTGGGGGCTTAAGTTTGTATTTTTTGTTGCCAGACTTTTTCTCCGTACTTGGTGCTTTTACTTAGGATGTTTGGGGACGGTTTCATGTATGGTACCATCTTAGATTTGCTAGGATTATTTGTTTATCTTCTTTCTATTTTTACAATGTGCAGATGGAGCCTATCCCAAGTGGAAATCTGCCTCCCGGATTTGACCCATCTACATGCCACAGTGTGTAAGTGCTGTATGGATATTTTGTTTTTCTCTATTTCTGGAGTCTTTTGTCTTCCTTTGCATTCATCTTTATGTTAGTCGGGGTGAAATTTTTTTAGCTTAAGTGGACTTCGTAACTTTGAGTTGTTCAAATTATTTAAATTTAAAGTGGACATTATTCATTTGAATTAATGCTGATAAATTCTGATGGCATGATGGTTTCAGGTATGTTGGAAACATTCACGTAAATGTCACCGATAAGCTTCTTGCTGAAGTTTTCCAGAGTGTTGGTCCTCTTGCAGGATGCAAGCTCATCAGAAAGGATAAGGTACATTGAATACTCCATGTTCAAAATTGATTTTCCCCTTAATGAATTTCCCTTCACGATGTGGCTGTATATTTGTTATTACAGTCATCATATGGATTTGTTGACTACCATGATCGAAATTCGGCAGCCCTTGCAATAATGACATTGCATGGACGCCAACTGTAAGCATTCAACTCTCTCTCTCTCTGTTTTTTTTTTTGTTTTTTTGTTTTGAATTTTTTTGAATTTTTAAAATGGTTATTGTCATAAAGAAATGGTTTATATTTATTAGTCTTTCTAATTTTGATTTGCAGTTACGGTCAGGCACTTAAAGTGAATTGGGCATATGCCAATAGCCAGAGGGAGGATACTTCAGGTTACTTTGAGCTTCAGTTGTTCTACTGCTGCTGTCAGATAGTGTTGCTTGTTACAATTTTATAGGGTTCATTCCTTTAATGCAATTTTACAATTATCAGGGCACTTCAATATATTTGTTGGTGATCTTAGTCCAGAGGTTACAGATGCAACTTTATTTGCTTGCTTCTCGGTCTATCCTAGTTGTTCGTGAGTTCCTGTTTCTTTCGATTATCGTTGTTTTTTTTCTTCAAAGTTTTAGCAGATATATCCCAGGCGCTAGGGTAGCATGCTATAGTTTTACCTCATTACTTTCATCAAATGTTCATGTTACTGACTGACTACAGTTTAAGGACTGAATTTATTTTGTGTTTCCACTTGGGTGTGGGGTAACAGTTTGAATCACCTATTAAATTCTAAATGTCCTGATGTTAGGTTTACTAGACTTTTCCTTTTGTCCTTTTTATTGTTTGCAGTGATGCAAGGGTCATGTGGGATCACAAAACTGGCCGCTCAAAGGGATATGGTTTTGTTTCTTTCCGTAACCAGCAGGTATCTGTTATGTTGTGATTAGAAATTAGAGTGTTTGGGTGAGATTCTTCCCACCCAAAAATTGCCTCCCACATGTTTACTCTGGAATATCTGTGAACTGATTAAGTGCCTCATGGAAATGCTTTATAGGATGCTCAGAGTGCTATCAATGATTTAACCGGTAACACCTCTAAATGTTGCCTCATGTTGCATGGTTTTTTTTGTCAGTTTTGAAAGATACCATTAGTGCATAATGGTTGATGTGTTCTGGACTCCATTTTGTAGGTAAATGGCTTGGAAATAGACAAATAAGATGCAACTGGGCAACTAAGAGTGCTGGCTCCAATGAAGAGAAGCAGAGTAGTGACACTCAAAATGCCGTTGTACTTACTAATGGATCTTCAGGTATCATGAAAATTTCTGACTTGGCCCACAGTATGTAGGATCCTTGGTGAGTTAGGCCAGAGGTTGCTTGCAAGGGCTTCTGGGACTTTAATGGTTGTGGTTTTTGAGATAAGATTGTGCCAAAGGAGCAACGATGAAGTTTAATAACAGGGTCAGGATGTAGTCTCTTAATACATGGATCTGGTTCAGGTATTAGAATATTGAATTTATTGATTGTAGTCTGAGATGAATCCATTTCTCCGCCTTTGGCTAATGAAATATGACCAGATCGACAAATTAATGGAAATTAGTCTGATGTTGGCTGTCTCATGGAACAAAAACTGACAGTAGTGAGTTTGACTTTTTTTGGTTGGTCTGATATTGTTATAGGGATTTAGTGTTTGCATTTGCTAGTGTAAATATAGGTCTTAGGCTGATGGTTGACCATAGTATACATTGCCGTCCTTTATAATACCAGGATTCAGTGGGAAGTTTGGACCAGACTTGATGTTGATGACTTGTTCTGTTTCCTTTCTTTTGCAGATGGAGGTCAGGAGAATTCCAATGAAGAGGCCCCTGAAAATAATCAAGCATACACTACTGTCTATGTTGGCAACCTCTCCCATGAGGTGATTAAACAGTGATTCTGGCTACGTTGATAGATTATGTTTCATATTTAAGTTTTAAATCTTAAGTTTGGTCTTATGACATAACTTTTCAACTGTTGGTACAACTATATGCTGTTAGCCATAAAATCTTGCTGAAAATCTGGTCTGTATTTTCAGGTTACTCAAGCTGAACTTCATAGTCAGTTTCATGCTCTTGGGGCTGGGGTTATTGAAGAAGTACGTGTGCAGAGGGATAAAGGTTTCGGATTTGTGAGATACAACACTCATGAAGAAGCAGCCTTGGCCATTCAAATGGCAAATGGCAGGATAATTCATGGAAAGTCCATGAAGGTAATAAAATCTCTACTGCAAGGTCTTTTCATGTTGATGGTCACACAGTTCTGTTGCCTTCTTAATACTGTTCTTCAATGCACATGTACATGCACAAGATCACCCTCCGGTGGGTTTTTGTGCATTTGATTAGTTTCCGCAAAGCGCCTGTGTATATGTGTCTTGATAAAAACATCTATTGTTTTGTGTGATCATGTATGCAGTGTTCATGGGGTAGCAAGCCAACTCCTCCCGGGATAACTTCGAATCCGCTGCCTCCTCCTGCCCAACCCTATCAGATCCTTCCGGCTGCTGGTATGAACCAAGGCTATTCTCCAGCTGACTTGTTGGCTTATCGTCGCCAACTTGCCTTAAGTCAGGCTGCAGCCACGTCCATGGCCTTGAACTCTGGTGGATCCCAACCTATGTATGAGGGATATCCTAACAGTTCATCAGGTCAGCAGCTAATGTATTATCGTTAATGCCACGGCCAGCGTTGGTGTGGGTTTCTGGCGGGGTTGCCGTTGTGTTTGGTTGCATTGTGCCAATTCTTTCTGTTGGACCTGTGTCTTATATATTAAGATTTCTGCATCTTCGGTTACATGAATTTTTGATCTCGTATGTTGTATCATGTAATATGTGTGATTAGAGATGAGAATTTTCTTTGTTTTGTGGGCTTGTTATAAAATGGTTTTTTATTTATTTTTTGCTAATTTCGATAATAGAATAGTCTACGTTGATTTTGAATAAAATATTACAACTTTTCTTGACCCAAAAAAAACATTACAAGTTACAACTTCTAGAGTTTTATTTTGCTAAAAGTTCTACTAATTTTCATAAATTTCAAAATATAAAACTCTAATCTAAACCGGTTTCAATCAATTACAAAAGCCTTAAATTGTTTCCTTATTAAGGTCTGTAAATCACTTCTTTTTAAGTGGTGTTAGACATGCAAAACCGACTCAAACAAGTTAAGCCAATTGGCAATGCAGTGTGTATGCCCTACCCAGCACATTAGCTGACGTGGCAGATGATGGTAACTAATTAATATTGCCACGTAAGTTCTATTTTATTTATTTCTTTGTCAATAATGCCTAGAAATTAAAAACAAAACAAAACAAAAATATTCCTTTTTTAAAAAAAAAGAAGAAGTTAAATAGCATTACTCAATAAGTAAATCAATTAATTGGCCAGTGAAAATGAGAGTTGACTTTTTAGTAAAATAGGGGGCAAAGCCAAACCAAGAGGATTACACAGGAACAAATCTAGGTCTCAAGAGACCATTCTTATCATCATCTAAAATAGGCTGCAACAGATCAGGAGGAGAAGAGAGCTCATGATAACCCAGCTTAGCTAGGAAAATTGTCGCATGTTTCACTTCACTTGGAGATGGAGCAGTTCAAAGGCCAGTCTCGGCTGCCGAAATTCGCCGTGCCGAAACGATACGATATAACTCTCAAACCGGACCTCACCGGCTGCAGTTTCGGCGGCTCCGTCGCCGTCCACCTCGACATCGTCTGCGATACCCGGTTCATCGTCCTCAACGCCGCCGACCTCTCCGTCGATGCCGCCTCCGTGTCTTTCGCTTCCTCCAAGGTACCACTGACTGATCCCTGCTGCCATGCATGATGCATTTGCTTGCTTGCTTTGGACAATTGTACAGTTGTACTCAAGAAAGAAAAAGAAAAGCAATGTTCATTTGGAAGTGCTTCTAAGTTCATCTGATTTCTGAGAGCAGGTACTTTTCAAGCCTTGGAAAGTTGAGACATTTGAAGAAGATGGGATTTTGGTTCTGGAGTTTGGAGAGACGCTTCCGGTTGGTTCGGGAGTTTTGGGTATTGGGTTTGAAGGAATTTTGAATGACAAGATGAAGGGGTTCTACACAAGGTGTGTTCTTCGAATTCTGGATTATATTATGTTTCAGATATGCTTAAACTTTGATTCATTCTGTACAGTACATATGAGCATAATGGTGAGAAGAAAAATATGGCCGTTACACAGTTTGAACCGGTTGATGCCAGACGGTGCTTTCCATGCTGGGATGAGCCTGCTTGGAAGGTTGCTCTATAATGATTTTGTTTAAAGCGATTCTGGATACTTAACATAGTTCTAATTTCATCTTTGAGTCTACTAGGAAAGAAAGAGATTGAATTGACCCCGTTCATTCTTATCGGAACTTTGATTGACAGGCTACATTCAAGATTAGATTGGATGATGTTCCATCTGAATTAGTAGCTCTCTCCAACATGCCGGTTGTAGAAGAAAAAGTGCATGGACATCTGAAGACAGTTTCATTTCAAGAATCACCAATCATGTCTACATATTTGGTGGCCGTTGTTGTTGGGTTGTTTGATTATGTTGAAGATCGTACATCTGATGGTAAACTCATACACAATGTCCCTTGTTTTGCGTATGTTAGTACAACCTTTTTCTTGATGGTGTCACCTTTCATCTCGTCACAGGGGTCAAAGTGCGGGTCTATTGTCAAGTTGGTAAGGCGAACCAAGGGAAGTTTGCTTTGAACGTTGCTGCCAAGACTCTTGAATTTTACAGAGAGTACGTTTTTGGATCACAATACTACAAAAAAATTACTAATCATTCATATTCAAATTTGAAATTACAGTTTATCCATGTTGTGGATTATAAGTAGTAGTTTCTCTAGTTTTTTTTTCCCTTCCCTGCTAATTCTGCATCATTATATTTGGCATTCAAAATGGAATCATTGACGACGACAGTTACTTTTCTGTGCCATACTCTTTGCCCAAATTGGATATGGTTGCAATCCCTGATTTTCCTGGTGCCATGGAAAATTATGGTTTAGTTACATACCAAGAAACAGATTTGCTCTTTGATGAACAGCATTCTGCAGCTGCCAACAAACAACGGGTAACATACACATCCTGAATGTCACTCTAGCTTTCAGAATTTAGCTTGGTTCATATGATATGTAGCTGTTGTTTTTGAACCCTAAAGAAATGTTTAATCGTTTCATTTGGAATTTGTGAAAGGTTGCAACTGTCGTGGCACATGAATTGGCACACCAGTGGTTTGGCAATCTTGTAACGATGGAATGGTGGACACATTTATGGCTGAACGAGGGATTTGCGACATGGGTATCACTTCATTTCACTTGTTGTACTTGTTATTTTATTTGCTTTTGGACTTAAAGTAAGTATTTTAACGCCATTAGGTGAGCTATTTAGCTACTGATAGCTTGTTCCCAGAGTGGAAAATGTGGACTAAATTTCTTGATGAAATTACTCGGGGTCTTAAGCTGGATGGGCTTGAAGGATCTCACCCCATTGAGGTACTTCTACATGGACCAAGTCTTTCATGGGTTTTATTCTAACTCTGTTGCCCAAAAAATTTCTGTTTCGTGGCATCAAACCTGGATCACCACTACACTTTGCAGGGCATCATTTACTGAAGGGTTTAGACTATATGTGTGTCTGCTATATTATGTTTTAATCTTTCTTCTTTTTGGCCAGGTGGAAATCAATCATGCTTCTGAGGTTGATGAAATATTTGATGCAATAAGTTATAGAAAAGGAGCTTCTGTTATCCAGATGCTACAAAACTATCTTGGTGCTGAATGCTTCCAGGTTGGTCCTTTGGTATGTTAGCAAATATCCTTGAAGATTGAAGCAACTATCTTATTTCTGAAATTTTTACATTTATGTGATGGAAATTTCCAAAAAATCAAGGCTTCTGGGCATACAGGATTTTAGAAGGATAGAGATCTTGAGAAAATTGTTAGATTGTGATGTGGAATACTGAACTAGCTCAACATCTAGTTCTTTGTTCCAATGTGGAGCTTAATCATAGTATTTTAGCATGAATTTGAGGTTGGGCTGATCTTGACCATTAGATCTAATGTTAGTATGGTCCAGACTGAACATAATGACTTTGGTCTTATTTGTGTATGCCATAAGTTATACAGTTAATGAAATAGGGTAACCATTTATGTAATATCTGTTGAAATAAAGCCTACAAAATAAGAGGAAGATGATTCTGTTCCATTACGGATAATTAAATTACATAGGTGCTTGTAGAGAACACCAATGCATGAATTCCTTTGGAATTATGTTAAAGAAATCAACCTTGAATCATCATAACAGACCAGAATTAAGGGAAAGACGGTCACTGGCTTGATTGACAGTCCTACTTGGTGCAGATATATATGTTGTTCATAACAGCAGAGTTATTACTATGTACTGTAGCTAATTCTGTTCAAATCAGGCTATATTGCTCATATGATAAAGGTGTTTGAAGTGTGTCTCATATTCTTTCCCTCAGCTTTTGAATTTTGGCTATTGTTTATTAAATCCATTTCTCATGGAAGTTACAGAGTTAATTGCATGTTATTTTTTCATGCCTCTAGAGGTCACTTGCTTCATACATAACAAAGCATGCTTCCTCAAATGCAAAGACAGAAGATTTATGGGCTGCACTTCAGGAGGGATCTGGTGAACCTGTGAACAAGCTAATGAATTCATGGACACAGCAAAAGGGTTACCCGGTTATTTCTGTCAAAGTCAAAGATCAGAAATTGGAGTTTGACCAGGTTTCCTTATGTTTACCTCCTTCAAAATCTTGTTTGATTATCAAGTGAAATTCTGAAAGAAAGCTCTAATGCATATATAAGCTGTTGGATAATTTATTTAGATTTTATTCCAATAAATGGCAGACACAATTCTACTCGAGTGGTTCCCAAGGTGATGGGCAATGGATTGTGCCAATAACATTATGCTCTGGCTCATATGATGTACGCAAAAGTTTCCTACTACAAAAGAAGTCCGAAACTTTTGATGTAAAGGAATTTCTGGGTTGCTCCATAGCAGGGACTGGATGCAGAGGCTCATTATGTAGTTGGATAAAAGTCAATGTGGATCAGACTGGTTTTTACAGGGTGAAATATGAGGAGGAACTTTCAGCTGCACTTAGAAGTGCGATAGAAAAGAAACACTTGTCTGCAACTGACAGATTCGGTAATCATTTTTTTATGCACACACTTGCTTATCTATTTGATAGTTAAATGTTAGTGTTTAGTTTTCATCATTTTTTTTTCCGTTTAACAGGAGTTTTGGATGATTCATTTGCCCTTTCTATGGCTTGCCAGCAGTCGTTTGCTTCACTGCTTACCTTGCTGGGTGCTTACAGAGAGGAACTTGACTGTACAGTGCTGTCACATTTGATTCCCGTAATGATAACCTCTGCTTTGTGTTTATGTTACTGTATTTGTCTCCTTGGTCTGATTTTGGTCTTCACTTTTCACAGATAAGTTATAAGCTGGCAACAATTGCCGCTGATGCTGTGCCCGACCTACTGGATCTCATTAATCAATTATTTATTGGCCTTTTCCAGTACTCTGCAGAGTAAGCTTGTTCTGTTTTAACTACTCAAGTACCTAGGTAGATAAGCTTGTCTGATGATAATAAAGTTGGGGCGGGAGCAAAATGTTTAACACTCCCAAACTATCCACAAAATTTTCTCCTTTTTTATTTATTTTTGTGAACATTTTATTATTTATGTTGAATTTGTTTACAGGAAGCTTAGTTGGGAGCCTAAAAGCGGTGAGAGCCATTTAGATGCAATGCTGAGGGGAGACATTTTGACTGCCCTTGCTGTGTTTGGGCATGACCTGACAATAGATGAAGCAAGTAGGCGTTTTCATGCCTTCTTAGATGACAGAAATACACCACTCCTTCCTCCGGACATAAGAAAGGTTGTCTCGATGTAAACCGTACATTCAACTTTTTAAATTCCCTCTTGATGTTCATTATTAACTATTGTTGCAGGCAGTGTATGTGGCTGTAATGCAAAGAGTAAGCATGTCTAAAAGATCGGGCTATGAATCTCTTCTTAGAGTTTACAGAGAGACTGATCTAAGGGAGGAGAAAACCCGCATTTTAAGTAATACTGATTAATTTAGTAAAAGTATGCTGAACATCTGAGTCTGTTATGCCAGGGAGTAATGCATCTCTTTGTGCCTGTAGGATCACTAGCGTCTTGTCCAGATCCCAACATAATACTGGAATTTCTCAACTTCTTATTGTCTTCTGAGGTACTTGCAATGTTGTTATATATATATCTTAATTGCTGGTTGAAAATTTGAATTAAGAGTATCTCAAAGCTTGATGGTACTTAGTTTGATGATCCCATCTATGTAGGTCCGCAGACAGGATGCAGCCCTTGGGCTTTCTGTTAGTAGTAAAGGGCGGGAAACAGCTTGGACGTGGCTGAAGGCATCTCTCGAGCACTAGTTTTTAATGACATTAATGAATTTATTTTCCCCACTATTGTTAACATGATTCATTTCGCCCTTTGGATGATCCGAAATACAGGATAACTGGGAGCACATCTCAGAGACCTGGAGTTCTGGATATCTGCTTCGCTTTGTCAGTGCCATCATTTCACCGGTTCGTTCTCTCTCTTGAAATGTTTGTTCTTGTCTTTGAGGCCTTTTGTTTTGTTCTGATGCCTTTCCATTTTGTTCAATGCTTGTGCCTTCATTGTACTTTTGGTGGTTTTACCTTCCTCTGCAGTTGGCTTCATTCGAGAAGGTTAAGGAAGTAGATGAGTTCTTCAAAGTCCATCCCGACCCCTCCATAACGAGAACATTGAAGCAGAGCATTGAGTGGGTACAGATTAACGCCAAGTGGGTTCAGAGTGTTGGGAGTGAGAAAAATCTTGCCGATATTGTGAAGGAGTTGGCGCACAGGAAATACTAGGCTCCATATTTAAGCTTCTTCTGTTATGGAAGGAGAAATCTGGATTTTGAAAGTTATCTAACTTAAATTTCCCAAACGAAGAATAAATGTACTGTGTATTGAACACAAGTGACAAAGATAGCATGATGATTTATAAGTGGCAATTTAAGTTTCAACTATGCACCTTTTATTGAAAGAATACGATTTGCCCATGTGGAAGACAAATGGGCTACGCCACATTAAATCGTGCCAATTTTTAATAACAAATTTAGCATTTGTGTCAAATCCATCCATCCATCCAAATGTAACCTAGGATTAAGGGGGGTGAGCAAGTGTGATGTCCAAAAAATGTGTTTTTTTATTTATAAAATACGAAAACGAAAGTTACAAAGCAAAATCTTTAGGGCAAGGAAGCCCAAAAAGGTCAAATTAGAGAAATACAATTGAGAGGGGCAAACCATGCTCCCAACAAACAACAGAAGCCAAGAGGGCATGGACTACAAAGAAAAAATACTTGAAATGAAAGGCAGGTGGGCGAAGCAGTCGTGGGTGGGCGAGGAGGTTGCAGAGAGAGTTAGGAGTCGATGGCTCAGAGGAGAGAGAGAGGCTACGTGGTTTTCTTTAAAATCAGGGGAAAAAATTATTATTATAAAATAAAAAAGACCCGCTTAGGGCCTTTTAAAAAAAAATTAATTTTAGGTATAACCGTAGAAAAAATTTGTAGAAAAGAAATTAATTATTGTTGAGAAATATAAATATATATATATATATATAGCCGACCGGCTATACTTCTGACAAATACTTGAGATTTTTTAGTATAGCCGCTCAGCTATACGCTTGAATATGTTAGCCTGGCGTAGGCCTCATCATTTGGCCCGCGGGCTCATGGGCCGATGGGGGCCCGCCCGGCCCATCGAAAAAAAGTCCGGCCCGACCTGTTATGGGCTTTGAGATGGCCCGGCCCGCCTTGGGCCAGGCTAGGCTTGGGCTTGGGTGTTTGAAGCCCGACCCGGCCCATAAGCCTGGCCCGATTAAGCCCAAGAAAGCCCGGCCCATTAGGCCCGCATACATATATAATTATGTATAAATAAGAGTTTAGGTTTAGGATTATATCACTTAAATCACATATATAATTTGTTTC